TATAAAAATTGACTTATCTTAAAATAAGTCAATTTTCATGATTTTCATACATTTGCCAATGTTTTCGCACTGACCAGCTGTGACACGCGTATACATTTTAGTACGAAATCGGGATAGGAAATATTGCTTACGGAAAATATTCATATCGCGGTAAAACCAATTGGTACATTCCACGTTTTGCTTTGAAACGCGGTTAACGTGCGATAAAAACGATTACCTATAAAAATTCAAATAATGTATTCAATTTTTTTTTTATCCCGCCTTATTAACAACGGCATATCGACGAAGTTATTCGTTTCGAGGTACTCAAGAATGGTTTGATGGTTGTGACTACGTTCATTGATTCGATTTACCGGATGCCCCCGGCACAACTGCAGGTGTCAGCTGCCCATTTATTCTAGGTATCGAGTGCCCTTATTTCTCGCGGTTTCATCAATCAACAAACGAGTGATGCCGAAAGAACAACAGTATTATAGACGGATAATGTATAACAGATGTACGCAGATGATCGTGAGCGATTGTATGTAGAAAACCGCGGTTATGGTATTCCGATCGTTCGCCTAAACATATTACAACTCCTTTGTTAGCGGTATAAAACACCGTGCGACGGCATCGTTTATGAGCGCTGTTAATTCGATGATTTATCGTTTTTATACTTAGGTTTCGATGTGATTCGGACGTTATACATAATATTATTATACCTCCCACCCGTTGTGTATTAACGTGTCCTCGCAATACGATTCAAAGTAACGTACACACGAGTGTAACTGTTAATTTGGAGGTTTCTTAAAATTCAAACAGAATATATAATATAGTCTGTTATACAAAGAATACATTTTCATGTAAAAACCTAACCCATAATTTAAATGAAAAAAACAAGAATTCAGCGTGTGTGAGTATGTTTTTGAACTTAAGTATTCATCAGTAACTACGATACGAGAGAGCCGGAACAAACAGATTACCGATATATTTAGTTTCCTAAGGATGTTGCGCTTTTCAAGAAAAATCATTTTATTCTAGTTTTCGTATCAATACCTTCTAACAGTGGATACGTGTATAATAATTACAACACCCAAAAATATGTTCAGACACCGCGATTGGTTGTCTTACGAAATTATGAAGATACGATCGGGCAGAAACAAACCATGAATGTCTTATCCAGTTTTCAGTGCTCGATCGATTTCTAATCGATATTATTTAATATACCTACTTATTACTTACTTAAATTATCAATGAATAGTTCGTTTTAGGTACTACATCAGAATCTTTATAAATCGAAATCCAACGCAGGTGTAATAAATAAATAATTTTTTTTTTCACCCTATTGAACATTATTACTATACGAGTTCTGAATCATTGCAAAATTCCTCTGAATTTAAGAAAAATTTAAATCTACACTTTTTTCCCATGTGATGATACGCAGTCATCTAAACAATTAAGAAACTTACTACACTCATTCTGAACATACGTAGATACATAATTTTTTGTCAGTAGTTGTTATCGTCCATCAGTCAAATATAAATTATATCCTCACAGTTGCAGACAGTTGATGAACACTTGAAGATTTATAAGGGGTTTGGAGTAGGCAATCTGACGAGTGATTGGAAACTTAATGATTTCAACATTTTCGAAACATTTTTAAAAACATTTCATACTCTGTAAATAATTGTCTTGTAATCACAAAATGTATTCTAAATCATGCTTTAACGAACTTTTACCAAAAATATATGAAAATACTATCTTATTGTTGACATTTGAAGCTGGACAAAAGTAAGCGAAATTAAACGATGCCCAGTTATTTTATCAAAAAAAAAAAAGAAAAAGATCTTTACTAACAGTTAGTAATAGTTACTACCTTTCACCTTCTCTCTTAGTAAAAATCTTGATTATTGTCATTATATATAAATGTGAAGTTTCCATGGACCCTCTGTATTTTTATTGGATTATAAACAGTATAAATATGGTGACAAATCGACTGACGAATCATATTGTTCTACTTTACATTAAAAGCATGGAACGCTACCGAAGTTAACGCAGCTATCAATAATTCCCAAAAGCAGTAACACAACTATACGTACATGGTGATTACGGATACTATAATACACCTGTACTATAAACACAAGTATAGTTTTTTACCCTCTGATATCTTACTCAAACTATTGTATTATCTTAAAGATAATTCAAAATAAATAGATTGAAAATTCTTTCAATGTATAATAATAAATTAATAAGTTAGGAAATAGATTTGTGTCTAATTAACTAGGAAATGAATTTTTCAATAAATACTAGTAATAATGATATTGTCATATAAATTACATAAAATGGGTATTTTTTTGTTAAACTGTTTTTTTTTTTTTTAGTTAGTGAAACGAGGAATTTATTGGTTTAACCATGATGCTTTTTATAATTTTTAATTTTTAATTTTTTTGAAGTCTATGCATACGATTTTGGCCACAAAGGTATTAACTAAGCATTTAATAGATACTTCATACATTCTTAAATAGTTTAATGAAATTCTTGCCATTTTTAGGCACTCAAAATTGTTGATTGAAAGTTAAATACTACTTTATTAAGAAATTTGGTTTTATTACCATATCAACTCTTAAGAAATATCAACTGATCAATTCGATCTATTTTACTCGAGATATTGGTACATTTGATTTCAATTTGAGCAGAAAGTACAACAGTATCATTCTTCCGTCCCTGTATATCACTTATATTTAAATACAAACCTTTAAAATCAAGGGTGAACGCAGAAAAAAATTTCAGGGGAGTTTTGAAAAAATGTAAGATGTTGATAAATAGTATGCTTAATTACTCATTATATATTTTATTTCCAAGTGTCGTGGAAAACATTGAAATAACTATTAAATTTTGTAGGTTAGGTAATTTTTTTATAACATTTTTTTCTGATATTTCTGGGGGGGGGTTACATCCCTAAAACCCCCCCCCCACTGCGTTCGTGCCTGGTTAAAATTATAAACATAACTTTTTCAACGAAGAGCGGAATAGATACAGAATACCTTAATATTGTTTTGCACCCACACCTCTTCTGTTCCATACACGACACTATGTAGTTGAACACGGTGGTATGTACTGGTACGATATGGTAAATGTAAATAAAAACTTTTAATAAAATAATATCGATGACCGTTTCGAACGGAACGTGGAGAACGAGTTTTTTCGACGGTGGAAATAATAAACAATAATCGATGTCAAATCGCTTCGAACTACGGCCGAACAGTATACCAACCGTCATAGGTGGCATTTGGGGGGGGGGAGTCATTAGGGGGCAGTTGCCCCGATAACATTTTTATTTTGGTGAGCAAAAGTATACATTTTCCTCCCCTCAAAAAAAAAAAAAAGTGAACGGAAAAACCTGTTATTTCAATATTTTATTAATGAACGCCGAAAAGTTGAATTTCATTTAAAACAATTAATGATATTCCTTCTGTAGTTTTAATTTCTGATGTACAACAAGAAAATAGTTTTTGGAATTTTCCAAATTCAATTCGAAGCTTCAATCAAGAAGAATATTAGAATTATACTCATGTTTTTGAGAATTGGGTTATGAAAGTTAATTAATTGTTGCCCCCCCCCCCCACTGGAATCATCCCCAAGTGTCGCCGCCTATGACAACCGTTCATACTTAACGGGCGATATTCTAATTTTCGTCGCCGCGAACGAAACGAAAAAAAAATATCGGTCCGCAAGTGTTTCAGGCTGTGTCGCCTACAGTTTCTGTCACCTCGACAAATGTATAAGTATAGACGCGAAACTCGAACAGTTGTACCGGCAAACGCGCGACAACACGATACAGCGGCGCAGTGGTAATAATAACAATAACAAGTGTACGTGTTGAGTTTCTCCGTTATCTGCACACCCATGCGACGGTGCGTAATACATTTTGGCACTTCGCGCGCCGAGACCGTTTCCACCGGTCGACACGCCAATACGACTCTTCGTAATCGTTTTCATTGTATGCGGTCGTCATTGTTTGAAAAAAAAAAATAATAAATACATTTTAAAAATTGTTCGAAAAAATTCTCGTACTGATAAGCGACGATGATTTATTGTTGGTTTCGTTTTTTTACGAGAAATCGTTGATTACGTATTACTGTGTGCAGTAACGCGAACGAGTATGAACAACGGAGGAATGTTCACGGGCCGAATGGAATATGAATCGGCCCCGGTCCATCGCATTGTATCATTATTATAATACGAGTATAATGCATAGGGGGTGAGTAGGGGACGAATAAAAATCCGTGCAACATTGTATATAAATACTGATGTATATTTACAAGAAAAGAAATAGTATTAAATAATAATAATATTAGGCATTTGAACAGTTTGATTTTTTTTTTTTTTCGTTTTTTGGTCACAATACTTGTAATACGTACTATGATGGTTACAACATCGCTTAAAACTAATACTAAACAATTATTTAATTTTTGGGAACATACAAATGGTAGTAGTACAAACAATGATGGACTTTGCGTTACGATTACGTGCTATACATACTGTTATATTATATTATAGTGTAAGTAAACAATACCATCCGGGTACGATAACACGACGAGTCACATCCAGAGTTAATACTCAAATAAAATAATAAACACACTAGCTCCTCGATCATTCGAGAGAGGTACACGATTTTAAAATAAATAAATCAGTTACAAAAAAAAAAAAAAAAAAGTCTCTTAAATTAGGTACGTAGAACATTAATTGTTTTTTTCTTTTTTTCTAATTTCATTTTTTTTTTTTTTTTAGAAAACCGTTAATATACTTCTCCCTAATGCTCTATACATATACAATTATTGACTAGGTGTTTTCTTTGAAAATTAATTTCGTGAAGTACAAAAAATTGTTGAAACATCGCTGTTAAAAATAAATATATACTTTTTTTTTTTTTTGACTTATAACTATAATAATTGTCATGGAAAAATGTTAAATGACCGTGTACGAATAGTAAATAAAAACTAACGTACAAACATTTCGCGTTACATATATTTAAACTAGTCAGGCATGTTTAAAAATTAAAAATTGAAAAAAAAAATCGAATAAATATAAACGACACTTTAGTATAAATTTGTACAACGTAGGAAAAACTAAAATAATTTTATTTGGTATAAAAAAAAAAAAAAATCTTTCTTGTTTTAAAAAAAATCATTGTTGAGTGCACGAGATTACACGAGTTTATATTTATATTTACATTCGGTACGGGACTACCAAAAAAAATTGTAGATAATACGTTCGCCGTTCGTTTGGGGTACGTTAAGACGTTCAGGACGAACGAGGTGGGCAATCATGTCATGCGCTGGTTTTTTTTGTGTTTAAAATTTGGAATGTGAACAAATTTTAATATCGTACGAACGCGGTTGACGTTGTCCAGAGAGAAACATGCGAAATCAACGTTTTAGGGACAATCGATGACGGGCGCGTAAATAAACTGCCATGCGTGAACATTCACTCGTAGTGCCCACACGTCGTGTTCGTAGTACGTAAAACTATGTTATAATATTGCGATGAGAATACTGAACCGTTCATTGTGAACACCGAGACTGCGAGTGGCGCGCGAACAATAAAACGTCCTACGCTCGTGCTGCAATGACGCGGTGGAGTTACGGGAGGACAGGGTTGCGGCCAGCGGCCGGAAACGCGCCGGAGTCCGATGGTCGGCGGCAGCGAACGGAGGGGCGTTCGCGCGTACACGGGAACGGGGTCGTGTTGGAAACGCGAACGGCTGCGGACCAACGTGCGGCGCGCGCGGTCGGCTTACCGGTGGTAATCGGTCGTTTTCGGAGTCCGCGTCTTACCGGTCGAGCGACGAAACGTGCACGCGATCGCGTCGCTGCCGATCGTTCGTGATCCGTGCCGGTTCGCGATCCGAGATCGTAACGCTATGCGAAGCGTGTGCGACACTGCGCGTCATAAATGTATCGTTATCGATCGCGATGGCGCCAGGACAAATGCAATCGACGGATCCGATTCCCGGACGTGTTCAGGCGGCTGCTTAGGTATACGTTCGTACGGGTGTGCTTGCATAAATAATATGTACAGGCTTATTATTATTATTATTATTATTATTGTTTTCGTAATCGACGAAGCCATCGCGCGAAGTGTTGCGTAGTAATAACGATAAGACCGTAATCGTAGTAATAATAATAATAATAATAATAATAATATTAATAATTAATTATAATAATAGTTAATAATAATAAAGAAAGTAGTACAGCGTTGAAATATGATAATAATACAGTAATAACATAATGTTACGCGCGTAATTACTACGTAGCGTAATATGCGAATAGAATAGTGTACGATTTTTATATCATTACGAGTTAATCATTGTCGTTAAAGTCTAGGAACTCGTCTCGTCGTCCGCTGGAACCGCAGTGGCCGGCGCGTCCTCGTCGTCTTCGTCGTCGCCGCCGCCGCCGACGATTCCACTACCGACGCCACCGCCGATCGCGCTGGCGTCTTCGTCGACGGTTAGCGACGGAGCGACGACCGTGGTAACCGACTGGACCGCTGCCCCGCCGGGCTCGGGTTTCTTCGACGCCTTGCCCAGCGGTAACCGTTGCGACTTACCGCCTTTGCCGCCGCAACCCGTGGACTTTTTCGATTTCTTTTTCCGGCCCGCCGCGTCCGCCTTCCGGTGACTGGTCTCGTCGTTGCCGCATCGGTTGCCGCCGTTCTTCTTGCCACCGCCGCCGTCCTCGTCGTCTTTGATCGCCACCGCTTCTTCTCTGTTCTTCTTCCGGTTTTTCTTGCCGCCTCCACCACCACCGCCACCACCGCTCGGTTTCGGCTGGCACTTCCGTCCGGACTTCCGGTACTTGTTGCTGCCGGTGACCAGCGGTGGTCCCACGTGCGGCGGACACACGTGATGGTGTCGGTGCGCGTGCGGTATCGAATCCGGCCACTCGCCCGTCATCGGCCCCCGCGAGGCTAACACCCTATCCACCGTCTTCTGTGACACCGGTTGCGTTAGCACGTGCGTGCTCTTGGACAACTTGCCCAGCGGCGCGTTAGCCTTCACCTGCACTTGGCGCGGCAAACCGCTCTTATTGATGCCCAGGTAAAGGGTCCGCGAATCGTCGCTGTACTTGGCCGACGAATACGTGTTGTAATGGTCCTGTTCGATCGTCTCGTTGAACACACATTCGTCCAGGAAATCCTTCTGCAACACACGACAAATAATAACAATAAAAACAATAAATAGTGACGTACACGCGCATACGAGTTATGATACAACTCGGATAAAAAAAAATAAAAAAAATATTTTGATAAAATCGACATCTATAGCACCATGTATAATTGATGTATAGTTCGACTTGATGGAATCACGATCTTTATAAAGCTATATAATTTTACTTTCATTTTTTAAAGATAAAAACAGTAACTAGGACGAGATAGATTTATAGATATAGGTTTCGATCAAAATATGAAATTATATTTACACATAAACAATATCATTTAGACCCTAACAATTAAGAGCCCGATGACAATAAGTCGTGCATAATAGTCATTCGCTTAGAAAGAAATGTATTCATTTAAACTATATACATAGTAAATGTCTCTTTGTATCAAACATTATACCGATATAGCATAATTATAATACATAGTTTAGGAGGTACTTCTGAAAATGCAATCAAGTCTTCAAAAACAAAATAAAAAACCTCCATAATTGTCTGGATAAAAATACTTCTTCAGGTGGATTCACAAATTGAAATTTAGCTAAATAAATAAATTTTAATTAAACCTTTAAGATAAAATTTATTTTTATACACAATTTACTAATAATTTAATTACATGTCTATTATAATTTTTTTTTTTAGAAATGTATAACCGTAAACGCATTTCTCTGTACACTTGTATGTATATTGCATACATTGTAATATTTAACTCTCCACTTCTAATCAAAGCTTAATTTACATAAAGCAGACATGGTGATTTATTTTGTTTGATAAAAATATACATATATATGTATTAAAAATTAGGGATGGATAGTTAGTGAGCGAGTTAATTCAATGAGTTCATTCTTTTAGGTGAACTGGATGAGTTCTATTAGTGTGCCATAGCTCAATGACTCAATAACACTATGTCACCTCCTAGATCTTATTAGTTGTCGACTTAATGTTATCATTTTGACAATTCATGACTTGTAAGTTGTGTTAATTGAATAATGTAGTTCATTGAATTGATGATTCATTATTATCTAAAGTGAAGCATATAGCCGATAAAAACTTATTGAATTAAGATTTGACTCTTAAAATACCTGTAGATTCATACACAGAAAACATCCACCGTGCCATTCGTTATCAGCCGTATCTCGAATTATCTTAATTTATATGTATATTTTATTATGTAAAATATATTATGCACCTCAAAGCACAATAAACTAACCACTTTAATTTAAAAACGAAAAATATGTTATCAGACATCTGAGACGAAGTAAAAAAAAAAAAAATTCTAATATTAATTCCTTTTGTGGTAAAGAACCATGGTGAAATTATTACTACATAGACAACCCTGTCAAAATCATACATTAGTTAATTATTATCAAATATATAGTAAAATCAAATTTTATTGTTATTAATATAATAATTTCACTGTTAATACGAGTAAAAGCAAATTTATTTTAACAATATACTAGTAGGTAAAATGAATATTTCAGTAAGCAGTTGATAAAAATTAAAAAGTTAAATGTTATTAAAAATGAGAATGCTAAAAATATAAGGTGATTTTTGTCATACGTGTGCTATTTATATAATTTCTGTAAGAACTACGAGTATTCACAAACATATTTTTTTTTTTTTGTTTAATGAAAGTTAAACAATTGTTTTTAAAGTATTTCAGTCATATGATATTAAATGTGTTATTTAAATATAAAATATTTGATTACAAATATTTTATACTATTTAACCTAGCTATCGAGCTAAATGGTTTACATTTAAAAGCTAATAAAAACAAAAATATACATATATATATATATACACACTATTTACCTAATATGTTATCTGTTCATAGTTTTCAATGGTTTTATATGTAATTGATAAAATATTTAACGTCTCAACTCCGTGCAAGGAATTAAATTGAAAGCTAATCAGTTTGTAATAATAACTACTTTAAATATAATGTTGTCATCATACATTTAAAAAAAGCTTCAAAAAATTCGTTCAGTGTACAATGTACATAGTATTTACATGCAATGACTAATTTCTACATTCGATATGCATCATTCCTTTCTTATTGCGACCATAAAAAAAAATCGTTAATAAATAAACTATAAATATCATAATTGCTGTTCATAAATATTAAATTGCTTACCGTTTATTTTATGGACTATATTATGTAGCAGTTAAAAATTATTCTATATTATTTAAGAGGGTGTAAAAACCAATAGATTAATAGGTACATCTCCGTGCACTTCGAAATAAACTCCGAATAGCATTGTCACATGCAGACAAAAATAAATGGTACTACATTAAATTAACAAGAATGTATATAGTTAAACATTAATGGAACAAAAAGTAATACACGCTTATGTGTAAACAAAAAATAACATCATTTTCAAACTAATAGCCTCTTTACATCACTTAACATTTCTCTAATAGTTCAATCGAACCAATGCGAACAAATCGTTAGATTGATTAATTGTAAGATTTATTGTCTCCATTACTTAACAAGTTCAAAAAAAAATTATTTGTTTATTTCAAAAAGTGATATACTGTTTTAATATCGATGTGTACTATACAAGTACAATTGACTTATTGATTTATTAGAATTATTATTGAAAACTAGTATTTATAAATGTTTTGAAATTAATACAGAGTGCAGTAGAAAAACCTCCCTGAGTTGCAAAATTTATAAATACCAAACCAAATCAAATATAAAAGTACATTTTTTTCTATAAATTTTACATACTCGTATTATGCCATTTTATTGAAACTATTTTTAAAAATTATATCACTTAATTTGCGATTTTTATTTTTAATAAATTGATTGAGATTTTTTCGGTAGTTTTCTATGTTTTCACGGATAATTTCAAGTGGAATGGCAGCAACTTCCTGTGATATTACCTTTTTCAGGACTTCCACAGTTTGGGAACAATGTTGGTACACTTGGCTTTTGGCTCCAGAGGAAAAAATCGCATGAGTTCAAATCTTGTGAACCTTGGGGCCACCCAATGTCACCACGTAAAGAGACAATATGCCCAGGAAAAATGTCTCGCAAAATGTTAAGCGATTATGCGATTATGATCGTGACTCTGTGATTACACCATCTTATTGAAACCATAAATTATCTTGTCCATACTTGTTTTAATTCTAGTTTTATTCTTATTTGAACTGCACACTCAGCCATCCCGCCTGAAATTACCCGTAGACTCAAAGAAAACTACAGAAAAAGGCTTAATCAATGTATTGAAAATGAGGGACACTATTTAAGTGATATAATTTTTAAATGTAGTTAAAATAAAATGGTATTAAATGTATAATTTATATATAGCAAATTTCTTTTTATACTTGTCTTGGTTTGATATTTATAAATTTCACAAATCAGGGAGGTTTTTCTGTCACAGTCTGTATTACTATTGTTTTTTAAATAATTATTAAAACCATTCAAATTTTTGTACGATTGCAATTGAATAAACGCGATGTCGATTATATATTTTAAAATTATAAATAGGAATCAGTAATTCAATTACAAGTATTTAAATAGCGTGCACGATGTGACAAAAACAGCATATGACATACAAAACGGTCGCACAGAATGAAAATGTATAACTAACTTTAGTGTCTTGCGATTTTGAATTTGAATTTTAATATCTTTAATATTATATGATAAAGCAAGACTTTTTATTATACCATGTTTGAATTTGAAAAATAAAACATGTTAATAATTATTTCTCTAAAGTATGATTCCAATGCAGTTTATAACCATATGAGATGTACTGCCATACAAAATATTTGATGTAAAATAAGCGAAAACAACACAAAAAATAATTTACTATAAAAAGAGAAACTCATATTACAAAGAAGTTTGCGGGTTCAATATTTTTCAAGTTTATGTGGTATAAGATTCAAAATTTTAAATTTTTATTTTTTTATTTAAATGGTTTAGAATACAACACATTTTCTTACAATTAATTGAATAATTAAATGATAATATTTTTAAATATTGTTGAACAATATTATTATATTTTATTTGAAAAATTGTATTCGTAAAAAGTGTTAATTAACGTTTTTTTATACGCATTTTAAATTTAGAACAAAGCGATTAAATACCTGTTTAATGTGTTCCAAATCGTTTACGTAATACTTTTCTATGTAGAATACTATTATTTTATTTGCAAATATACTATATAATATATCAGAATATTTTTTAAAATTTATTATACATTAATAGATAAATTTCTTATAAAAATATATCCTAATATCCGATATCAAAATTATTGTACGTATCCACGTTAATTTACTTATCGTATTTTTGTCTTATTCATTTTATACTACATTTTATTTGAACGATAAAGTAGTGTTGATTTTATGACATAATATAATTATTGAAAACAATTTTATAAACCATAAAAATATATATGATAATCTATTGAAATTTAAACATTATATACTTCAAAAGATAATTTTTCGAATATATGAGTCGTTAAAGTTGATTTTTGATGTGTAAAATAATAGTATACGTCACTAAAACATAGAACAAGGGTGACAAAACTATAGTAGTTTTAATATAAAAATCAGTAAAACAGTAAAATTGATTTTGTGACTTTCGATGTAATAGATTATTTGAATTCCTCCGAATAATAACTTCAACTACGTCACTGAATAGTTATTTTTTAATTTTGCATAATTTTCTAATAAATAATGAAATAAGAAATTTATTTTTCATTAGTCATTTACATTTGTACTATAAATATTTTGAAAGTATTGTGTCCCCGTAAAATTATAACAGTAGCTGTCTGTTTAATAATATATTTATATAATATTTTTTTCTTTCCTTGTCAGATGTCTAGGTCTTAATAGATTTCTACACGTTGTCGTGGTACCTATCTCCTTCAATAAAACGTTTAGTATCAATGGCGAAGTGTCAAAAAAAAAAAAGTTAAGAAATATTGGCAAGAACCTAAAGTGTCTGGCTATCTTTTCTAGCGTTTAATTTTAGAAT